TAGCACTCTACCACTTGAGCCACAGCGCCACTTCTGGCTTTTTTCTTTTTGCTTATGTGGTGCTGAGGAATCGAACCCAGGGCCTCGAGCATGCAAGGCAAGTGCTCTACCGCTGAGCCAACTCCCAGCCCTCTTATTCATAATTTTAAAGCTCAATTAATGTACTTAACAGCAAAATATACTAACAATAAAATATACTCTATTTAACTCTACATGTGTATAAATCAATAAAAGATACCTTAAAAGAAACAACTGATTATGTAACTGTAACCCCTCTCTACATCACTTTTATAAAGCAATAAAAATTAAATTAAAAAAGAAACAACCAAATCACTCCAATAAATGTGACTTAATGTGCACAAATTAGAAAATAAAAACCCTTGCTATGTACTACACATTTCCTATGGGCTCCAGTGTGGAATAATACAGTGGGTGGCTATAAGCACTAAAGGCAGGAGCTGTGAGAAACTGACCTAGTGGGTGTTTGTGAGTGTCCCCCACTGGCACAGTAGGCAAGTCTGTAGCTAGGACCCTAGATCTTCAGCCTTTCCCTCCTATTCTGTTCTCATCCTTCTGGCTTTGGCTCTTCCCTCTAGATTTCACTTATTTGCTTTCATTGTAGCCTTTTTTCCCCCAGTTGGCTAGGCCAGACAGATGAGATGGGGGAAGAAAGGGTTTCATAGGAAACAGCAGCAGGTCCTCTCCCTTCAAACCCCAACCCAGAGCCAAGCTTTTCCAGAAAGCCCACAAGGCCTCAGAAACAGAACAATGCCCAGGGTAAGACTTGTTTGCCCCCAAGCTGAGTCCAAGCCTCTTGTCTATGATTCTCATCAACCTCCTAAACTTCAGGTCCAGCCCTCAGATGAGCAACAGTGTGCTCAGATCTGATGAAGGTTATCCAGTGAGAGGGACAGTGAAGCAAAGACAAGGGCCCTGTTTGGGAAAATCCCCTAATTTGGAGGGTAGGAAAGCTTCATCCGCCCCTTACAAAAGGCTATCTCACCCAGGCTAAGACAATAGAACACATTCTCCCTGTCCTCAGAGGAGGCTCAGGTCAAAGCAGAGGACACAGAAATGGTGTGTGACCTAGTAACTTAACAGCTCCCGTATCTTGTACAGAACTCTGGGCCCAGGTGCTATACCTGAGCTTTTGTGCCCAAGGTTAGCACTCTACCACTTGAGCCACAGCTCCACTTCCAGCCTGTGGTTTTCTGTCTCCACTGGCTCCTTCCAGAGGAAGGATGGCTCTGGAGTCAGACAGACCTGGAATCAAGTCCAGAAATCAGTCACTTGACTTTAATGAGTTCCAAATCCATCATTTGTAAAGGTAATGAGCTAGTATGATTTGTAAAGACAATGATGTAATAGGGAGCTAATGATTATGAGAGTTCCACCTTTGTCCCCCAAAGATAAACTACATTTGATGGTATATTTTTTTTTAAACTTAATTCCCGGATTCAGTTTGTTAGTGCTGTGGTGGGTTGGTTTGCATCTTTGTTTTGGATTTTGGTCAGTTTGTTTGTTTTTGGTCAGTTGTGGGGCTTGAACTCTGGGCCTGAGTGCTGTAACTCAGCTCTTCAGTTCAAGGCTAGCGCTCTACCACTTGAGCCACAGCTCTACTTCTGGTTTTCAGGTGGTTTATTGGAGATAAGAGTCTCAGATTTTCCTGCCCGGGCTGGCTTTGAACTGTGATCCTCAGATCTCAGCCTCCTAAGTGTTACAAGTGTGAGTCACCTTTGCATCTTTATATGCAGGATTAGACTATATTCTGTGGGCTCACCTTGTTATCAGGTAACATAATTAAGTAGATTGAATTACTATGACTTCCATTTCTTCTGTCTTCTGGGAATATGAAGATATGTATAGAGAATATGTATTTTATATATACATATATATTTATATATAAATACAACATATTTGTATATAAACATATATATATATAAATATCTATATGTAAATATATTCTACATATAGGATAAGTGTGGAGAGAGAGAGAAAGAATATAGATATGGATATTTTATATATATTCTCTCCCTCACAGCCTAAGTGCCTTATGGTGGGAACTGGAGAAATTGCCCTACTGATGTTTTGTTTCTTCTGTGCTCTCATTGATAGAGATGATTCAGTCAAACCAAAATAAGGGTGGCTGTCAGCTATGTGAGCCCTCCTAAGGTTTCAGCATAAGGCAGGCTATTCTAAAGTTTGCAGCCTCCATGATTACGAAGATTTTGGTCAATGGTTGATTTTTTTTTCTGTGGCTTTGTATGTCTATGTTTCTCCATTTAGCTGATGTTTCTACATTTGGCTGGATATTGCAATACCCTTTTTAAAAAATTTTCTTAAGGCTAGCACACTCCCAGTTGAGCTACAGCTCCACTTCTACTTCAGGCTTTTCAGTGGTTAATTTGCGCTAAAAGTATTATGGACTTTCCTGCCCAGGCTGGCTTTGAACCACAATTCTCAGATCTCAGCTTTCTGAGTAGCTAGATTACAGGTATGAGCCACTGGTGCAATAACCTTAACTGATTTCCTGGATGGCACTCTTTATCACTTGAGCAACTAACACCATTTATATTGCACACTGTGGCTATGAAATTTCCTCTGAATACAAGTTTGGCTATGTCCTATAAAATATACTGTCCTCGCTTCATTAATTGTATCAATTTTCTTCTAAGGGCCATTTAGATAAACATTTTTAATTTTCAATTGCTTCATTTGTAGTCAAAATATATGCTTATACACATATAAAATTATGAAAAAATCAAATCCTGCTTTCATTATAACCATAATTCTGAATGTTTATAAAACCATATTTGGGGTCACTTAGATGACTTCCTTATAACAGAAATCTAATGGTTAAAATTTGTATTTGTTTTCTTTTTTTTCTTTTTTTTTACTGGTCATTTGTGGGGCTTGAACTCTGGGATTGGGCGATGTCCCTGCGCTCTTCAGCTCAAGGCGAATGCTCTACCATTTCCGGTTTTCTAGTGATTTATTGGAGAGAAGAGTCTCACAGACTTTCCTGCCTGGTGTGGCTTTGAACCGAGATCCTCAGATCTCAGCCTCCTGAGTAGCTAGGATTACAGGCGTGAGCCACTGGCGCCCAGCTGTATTTGTTGTCTTATTATCTAGTAGCACTATTTCAATCTTCAGATGAGGCAAAAATAAGGTAGCTTTTATAAGTAAATACTGCAATTAGGTCAGTTGGTGGCATGGTCTGCTACATGAAGGAAGACTTCATTTATTTAAAAATAAAATAAATGGTGGATAAACATATTCATCACATCAGGGTTTGGCATGCCAACCCCAAAAGACCTGCCACAGAAGTGGCAGCACCACTTTCATACATGTGAGCTCCTTCAGCCAAACATTATCTTCTAGTATATTTAGTTCATACTATGAACCTGATTTTTAATTTTATTGGTGTATTTGAATTTAATTTATATAAATTTTTGTTTAACAGTTACACACAAAATCTAAGTGTAAGGAATTTATACCTGCATATACTAAATAGCATAAAAATTTGAAGTCCATATTGGAAGTCTATTGAATTTTTTTTCCTTTAAAAGTAGATCATGGCTGGGTGCCAGTGGCTCACACCTGTAATCCTAGCTACTCAGGAGGCTGAGATCTGAGGGTCACGATTTGAAGGCAGCCCAGGCAGGAAAGTCTATGAGACTTGTATTTCCAATTAACTATGAAAAAAGCCTGAAATGGAGCTATGGCTCAAGTGGTAGAGCACTAGCCTTGAGCAGAAAAGTTCAGGGACAGTCTCAGGACTGTCTCACACACTCACACACACACACACACACACAGAGTAGACATTGTAAGACACCTCTAATTCTAGCTACTCAGGAGTCTGCAAAGATTTGTGGTTAAACAGACTTGTCAGAAAGTCTGTGAGACTCCATTGCCAAGTAGCCAGCAAAAGGCTGGGCTGAAAGCATGGCTCAAGTAATAAAGTGCCAGCTATGGGCAAGCAAGCCAAGAGAGATCTTGAGTTCAAGCCCTGGTATACACACACAACACACACACACACAGGTGCCCGCTTATGCGCACAGATCATACAACTCTAGGCATGGTGGTTAACAGCTATAATCTTAGCAGCTAGGAAGACTGGGATGCTCATAGTTTGCAGCCAGCCTACGAAAAGGCTCATGAGATACCCCCATCTCAACCAATAAAGCACTGGGCATGGTAACCCTTGCCTATCATCCTACTATGTAGGAAGTATAAATAAGAACACTGTAGTCCAGGTCTGTGTCTATAGGCAAAAAGTGACACCCTAGTTGCAAAAGAATTAAAACAAAAAGGGATAATGACTTGGATCAAATGACAGAGCCCTTGCCTAGGAAGCACAAAGTCCTGACTTCAAATTTCAGAACCAGAAAAAAAAAAAAAAGAAACCTCCTGATTCTTGTTAAAATCTTCTCCCTATCCCTAGGATAGGAATCCCCTAGGATCTCCCAGAAATGTACTTCATATGGGGGCAAACCAACCCAGTCACTACAGTGGAGGGCCCCTCCATGTTGCCTTCCCAGGTCATACCCAGAGCTCTGAAGGAGCTCATGTTGTCACAGTTGTCAATGCCCTTGACCAAAGGTGTCACTTTCCTATGTACTAGTCAGTTTTCCCTGTGCCAGGGTATTATCCTTGGCTTCTTTCTTGAGCTGGATCCAGGAGGCCTGAAACTAGCCCATCACCAAATTGGGCCCAAAGCTGTTGCCTTTGTTCTTAATCCCCCTCATTTAGGGAACAGCCCCCTCTCAAGGCTTCTCTTCTCATCTCTCTTTTTATAAGGAATTCTCAATGGTTTCTCTAACTTCATTCTGCTTACTTAGCATATTACTGATCTCTCTTTTCCAACTTCCCTGGAAGTGATACATACTAATCTGAGTGAGTATCCCCCATAAAAATTTGCAAACACATCTCTGATTCAACTGTTTCATGTCAACCTGAATGTTTAGCTTCTCATGCTAAAATTTTCATCTTAATTTCAGATGTGCAAAGTTTTCAACTCGAGTTCAGGAAGCAGAAGATTCAACACAGCACAGAGATTGGAAGGAATTCTCAGGATAACAATGAAGAGAAACAGAAGGTCCACATCTGTGCAGCAGACATGAAGAGCCATTAGTTTAGCTTGGAGCTGGAGGACAAGAAAGATGCCTCCCAGAAGGCAAACACAGAATAACATAAGCAATGATACATCTGACATCAGGGAAAATTGTATCTACTACTTCTATAAGATATGCAAAGATTTAGCAGTGGATAAAAAGGAAGCTGGGCAGTAAAAAGCAAGGCATTATTCTAGAAAAGAAAAGGAGTTGTAAGTACAGTACATGAGTAACTTAGTAGCGAACAATATTTATTTAGTAGTAATAATGCAGATATTATCATGACCCAAAAAATTGGTGATTTGGGTAGTAATAAGGAGTTGGAGATTTTAGATGTAATTACTCACCTATCATGATAGGAAGTTAATCATTAAGGGTTATAGCTCAGTGGTAGAACACTTGACTAGCCTGTTAAAAGCCCTGGGTTTAATCCTCAGTTAATCATTACTGTTTCAAGAGAGAGGAGTGAAAGCATGGGAATCTATTCCATAAAAAAGAAATGTGAATTGAATGTAGCTACATTTAGGGAAAGATTCAGGGCTCCTAAGCGTGGGACAAGACACCATTGTGAGGTTTTGGTTGCTAATCAACTTACTATTTACATCTTCCAGTGTAATTAAAATAATAATCAGGGGCTTCATGGTAGAGAACTTGATTAGCATGCTCAAAGCCCTTGACTAGATGCCCAGACTGCAAAATTAAATTCATAAATAAAATAATAAAATAAATAAATAAAAATAAAATAATAAAAATAAATTCATAAATAAAATAATAAAAATAAAATAATAAAATAATATATCTTTAGGCGGAGTGCCAAAGGCTTATGCCTGAAATCCTAGCTCCTCAGGTAGCTGAGACCTGAGGATTGTGGTTTAAAGTCAGCCCAGGTAGGAAAGTCTGTGAGATTCTTATCTCCCATTTACCACCAAAAATTTGGAAGTGGAGCTGTGTGTCAAATGGTAGAATGCTAGCCTTAAGCAAAAAAGCTCAGGGACAAACAAGTAGGTTCTGAGTTCAAGCTGCAGGACTAGTGCACCCACACACGCACACAGTGTGTCTTCAGATTAACATTTCTGAAGATTTCATTCATAAATACTCCTCTAAAAAGTTTTGAAATCATTTCTACATAGAAAGGATTTGGTGCTGGGCTCAGTGGCTCAGTGGTAGAGTGCATGCCTTGCATGCCAGAGGCCCTGGGTTTGATTCCTCAGCACCACATAAGCAAAAAGAAAAAAGCCAGAAGTGGCACTGTGGCTCAAGTGGTAGAGTGCTAGCCTTGAGCTGAAGAGCTGAGGGACAGCGCCCAGGCCCAGAGTTCAGGCCCCATGACTGGACCCCCCCCCAAAAAAAAAACCTAAAAAAAAAAAAACAAGAAAGGATTTGGTGCTTTTAAAGACAGTTTTTGTTTTGTTTTGCATCTACCAAAATGTCAGAATTCTTAGGGTACTCTGACATATAAGCTTCTGGACTGTGAACTCTTTGGGGACATAGTTTCTCTTATTTGTATATCTGTGGGCACAGAGCCTAGTATACATCAAGCTCTTGATGTTGTTGAATAAAGATAAAGAAGCATTCAAAAAATAAAAGGTGTTTTGAATTTTCAGTGCAGCAGTGACCCTCCTAGAATTTCCCTACTGGTATTTCTACACCATCTTCTGAATGCTCCAAGATCCTGTGGGTTGACACCTGCATTGTTGTAACAAGGTTGGAACTTGGAGCTCAGGAAATACTTTTCAGCTTCAGGGTAGAGAGAGGATCCTTCCTTTCCCTGGAATTGTTTTGAATTAGGGCCGTGCTTGGCAGCAGGTAATACTATTTGCAGAAGAAAGGATTTTGCATTTCAATCTTTGTAATTGTACTTAGAGAACCATGGGCTGGATTTTCTGTGGCCTGCTGGGCTCAGGGTGGGCCAGTTTCCTCAACTGAGGAGTGGGAAAGTTACCTCCACCTCTTTCATCTTCGCAAGTCATTGCAAAGATTGTACTTAAGAATGGATAAGAAGGGACCAAAATATTGTCCACTTTGTCATTATTCAGTTAAGTCAGTAATTAGTATTGGACACTAGGAATTCATTTGCTCAATTAGTGAACAAATCCTAAATGAAGGAATCTTAAGTGAAGGACAAATTAGATCTGACCCTTGCTCAGAATGGTAAATAGCTATCCCATCTCTTTTATACCACACTGTGTACCTGCCTTCAGAGGGCCTTCTGTATTCTCAGGTTCTCTGCATCTATACATTGTTCACTCTCACCTTCCATCACTGTCCCTAAACTTCAAACACTAGCATCAAGGGGAGAGTCATCTGACAAGTTCAACAAGCAAATCATATTCACCTGGGCTTGAGACACATCCATCCCCTCCTCTGCTCTGCTCTGCTCTGCTTTACTCTACCCTGCCCTGCCCTGCTCTACTCTGTCCTGTCTAACCCAGGCTCAACCAGACTGGAAAGTCTGAGGCAGGAAGATTGAAAAAGCCTGATGCTTGATGTGTGGGTCAGCACCACAGAGCAAGATAGGGGCAAAGCCAGCTCTCTCACATTTCAACTTGATTCTAAGCCTGTTCTTAGTGCTAGGAAAGTGATCAATCAGTCATTGCTGTCCCATCTCACAATCCAGTAGGGTTGGTAAAATAGGAGACAGAGCCAAACGTTCAGTGTTGAGCTCCCAAAGTTTCCCAGGGGAAACTGGCCTGTGACTTAATCTTACTCTTTACAGTAGAGAGCTTTATTTGTTCATTTACTGTTACAGTGCTGGGGGACTGAACTCAGGGTCTTGAGCATATTAGGCAAGCTATCACTTGAGTCTTGTCCTCCAGCCCTTTTATTCTTATTGCATTCCTAACACAGGATCTTGAACTCCCGCTGCCTAGGCTGGGTTTGAATACCCAATCTTCCTGCCTCTATTCTGAGTAACTGCAGTGACTCAAGCAGGCACCACCATTGTTGGCTGGGAACATTAACCTTTTAGACTGAGCCTTCAGCCTGGTTCTGTGTACTCCTTTCCCAACAATATGCAAATTAATCACCTGGGGATTTTATTAAAATGAAGTACAGAATGACTCACTGAATCAGGCGAGGCCTGAAATCCTCCATTTTTAGCAGGCTTCCAGATGTGTGGGCCACACTTGAAGTATGAAATTCTAGAACACTTACCTCATTTCTCTGATCAGTGATGACTGGATTGATGTCTCCATGAGAAAGGGGTTTATTCATTCTGCAATGTGTCCCCAGTGCCTGTTACTTTAAATAAGTACTTGGAGGAGTGTATCAAGATCAAAGCTCCCTCATCCATGGGAGCTGAGCATGAACCCCAATCTTGGCTAGGCAAATCCACTCACACACATAGCACACATATGTAATTTCTACCTGGCTCTAAGAAGCAGATGCCAGTATTTGACTGGACCTCATCTGTGGCTGAATCACTTCCTCATCCCACTTCATAAACCTGTGTCTGAGGACTCACAAGGAGGCTGGGTCCCATGTGGCAAAACTCACCCACCATCCCCTCAGCCCCTTCTCCAACTTACCAACCAGCACACCAAGCCCAGAGAAAGATTTTTTTCTTTTTAATTAAACTAGTCTCTATTAAAAAATAGTAACAACCTGATAAATCCTGTAATTTCCAGGGGATTAGGGCAGACATTGAGGCCCACTAACTCCCCTTTCCAGTCAGAAGCCCTCCGTGTTACTTGTCTCTGAAATCTCCAAGAACTGTCCTCTTAAGGGCCTAGCACCGAGCAGCCAGGTGTGTCTGTGTGGGAGGGGAGCTGTCTCCCTGTAAGAAACCTGGGTGGAGGGAGACAATGTTTATGGAAATGAAGGAAGGAGAGGAAGCAATAAGCCCAGAAGTCTGACCTCAGTTATGTTGGCAAAGTGGACCAAGTAGAGTCCATTCAACAGGCAGCTTGAGATGGGAGCTTCTAAAGACTAGAGATCACCTGGACACCTGGCTGGGGGGAGGGGGGAGTCGCGGGTGGTGATCCAGCCGGAGGGAGGAGGGGACTTGGGACTCAGAGTATTATAGAGGTGCAAGGGGGGGGGCGGGAGAAGGGTGATAAGTGAAGGGAGAAGAAATGAAGGGCTCACCAACTGGAAGGGACAAGGGTCCTGTGGCAAGAGGCGGCGGCGGCAGCGGTGGGGAGGGGGGGGGCCCGACGGGGTAGGGAGAGGAGAGTTCTCCCCAACCGTGAAGGATATAGTAGATTTGTTCAGTTCAGCAGCCAAAGGTGCGGTGCTCAGAGGTGAGCTTCGAGCGGGAGGGGTGGTGGACAAAGGCGGCCGAGTTGGGGGTGCGCTGGGGGAGGGGGAGGGCGGAGGAGGCCCCCCCCCACAGGTGTTGGCTGTCGGTGGGGACGAGGCTCACAGGTAGCGCTCCAGGCCGGGCGCGAAGCCGGGCTGCCTCAGGTAGACCTCCCCAGAGCCGAGCGGCCCGAGCGCGCTGGCGGGTCCGGCCAGGCCCAGGAGGGGCTCGGCG